CCACTCAATCAGGTGACAAAATACGGATACAAATTAATATTTAAAACAAGGATTCACCAGGTTAACTGCATATTTGTATTCGACAAAATGACCACAGATCCAATTCATCAAGCCCATGCTAAATACACTTATTGGTCCCAATGTTATTCGCAATATAGCCCTTGAGCACAGCACTAGGTACAAAACTGTATGAATATAAATGTATACGAATGAATGCAATACATTCGCGTAATGGCTGAAACCCTGACACACACAGTATTTGTAGTGGGTAAATCGATAAAAACATATCCAGTTTCAAAATAAATGTTACAGCCATTATCTCCGGGCCATGTAGTAAGTACAGTGACAATATACTAGATGTTCAAAAAGCTTGTGACTGCCGATGGTGATGTGATTAAACCTAATCACTGACCATTTATTTAAATGTGTTAAACACATCAGTTACCTTAGTACCAGACAAAAAGTAAACAATAATATGTATGCACATGTAAATGGATATAACTCCAGTAGATACGGTGTGCAAGTTATTGCTGAAACATGGAGAATAAAGTTTTTCCAACAGATGTGGTAAGTTTCATCAATACATTTAAACTTATTTAATGTGTTTAATTTATGCTATTTATACAATTATTATCAAATTGAATGATACAAATCAAGTTTGCATTATGTTTTATTCATTATTTCACATACAAATTTACATACAACTCATTAGCCCAATTAGTAAAGTTAATTTCTAGGTATTTAATTAACAATTGTGAATAATTTATGAACCATGAATGTGTCATACAGAGTAGTGGCGGTGGTGGTTGTGCTCTCACCCCGAAATTAATGGCGAGCCTGGGATCAGCGCTGTTCACAATTGTGTTTATGGTCGCTGTACCAAGTGGTATATTTCTGTCCGATAATAGTGATGTGACAGGTGAGTATTAAGACTAAAATATTGATTTCCATCTGGATATCTAGCAGTTTATGTCGAACAGTGTTTAAATTGATTTAAATTATTATAATCATAATTAATTATATTATGTTTGTTATAGGTCACCTCAATGACACGCATTCAGCAGGTAAACGCTTGATTTACACATAAATCTCAAATCAACAAATTTAAGGAATCTATACATTAGTTTTTCTTGTGCATTTTTCTGACTTTCACAGCTAATCGATTTCCCACTGGTCCTCCAAGCACAACATGTAGGAATATCATTTGTTGGCAACAACGCTGTGGTTATGAAACGTATTTACAGCTAACCCTAAATTATGAAACGTTTTGGGGTCTATGACTGTACTTATAACATACACAGATCGTTACTACTTTGTAAAATTGTACAAGTAGTACTTAGTCTAGTAGTATCACATTCTATAGCCAATTATAATCTCATTATTGATGTACAGGCTTGCATAACGCTTAAAATGCATTCTGTTTTTCGCGGCAATGTAAGCAAAGATCCTTGATGTCAACAGAGTAAACTATTGATGAATGGAAAAAAAATACTCCTGAACACAACTTTATTTTTTGTAGCTAGGATCCTCTAGCATTAACAAGTTAAACACTCGCAGGACAAGTTTACATTATGAGTCTACTGAACAATTAATGTGTCCACACAGATAGGAATTCCTGTTCAACAGATCCGTGCCAACATGGTGTATGTACTGCTATCGCACATGGATACACATGTGACTGTTTCCTGGGATTTACGGGAACGAACTGTGACACCGGCAAGTAGATGATTTTACTAAACTAAACCCGTAGAATAAGTATTCTTGATTAATACAATTGATGGCCAATGACAAATCACGAACATATAAAGGCGCACACGCAGATTCAAACTCATGGTCACGGCAGAGCGCCTTGTCACTGAAAACAAATTTTATCTCAGTACTTCACATTCCCAAAAATGTCAGCTCTGAAAAGCGTCCAATGAACGCCCCAATGGCAAATAGTATGTGAGTAAGTAGAATCTACAGTGCGAACAACAGCGACATGTATTCATGATCAATATGACCTACTCAGTTAAGTTTACCCTCGGGGATAAAGTACATGTCCAGCAACAGTGAGAAAGTGGAATTAACTACAGGTAAACTGCCAACATATAAGCACGTATACACTAAAATTGAACTCACGACCACGGCAGATCGCTTTGAAACTATAAGTGTAAGACGAATCTATTACGTCACAGACAATTACGTTGTTGTTAATTTATGTTAGCATTGTATTACTGGAACTCTATTTACATATCCTAGATAATGACTGACATTTCATTTGTAACATGATATTAATCAAGTCGAATACTAAAATATTTGAATGGTTTATTTGATTTACATGTGTTATTCAGACGTGAATGAATGTGACTCGAATCCGTGTCAGAACAGCGGTAGGTGTGATGATGGAATAAATATGTACATATGTGAATGTATTCGTGGTTTCACAGGGTTCCATTGTGAGAGGAGTAAGTACGTTCTCTATTTACTAGTACTGGCACATCTTATGGTTTGCCTTCATTTGATTATACTCGCATGTATTATATGGTTTAATGAAGACATTCTCTCATACATTTTCCTTTTATTGCCATGGTAATCGCCGGTGAGACTCATAGTTAAATATCCCGAAGTTTGTCTTTATTAGCCCCCACCCAGACAAGGTCTTGTAGTTTCGCCTTTGTCAGTCCGTCAGTCCGTCTGAGTGATTTCTCAGAGATAGCAGGACCGATTTTTTTAGAAACTTGGTACAAAGACATAGTGGTCAATCATACATATGTACGTAAATTTATTTTCCGATATGGCGGACTGGCGGCCATTTTTAATTCCAAAATTCAGTCAAATGCGTTCCTTGTGTGCCCATCGTCATTTCTCGGAGATGCCTTGGCCGATTTTATTGGGACATGTTACAAAGACAAAGGGACCACCTATACAGATGTACGTTGTTTAACTTTTATGAAATGATCAAATATGGCCGACTGGCAGCCATTTTGATTATTAATCGTGGCGTTTGTCTGTCCATTGATATTTCTCAGAGACGCCTTGACTGATTTAAATGATACTAGGTACAATTTAGTGCCATTTTGAATGTCAAATGTAAAATCCAGTTTTTGGGGTGTGTCCATCATCATTTCTCGGAGATGCAAGAACCGATTTTGCTGAGACTTGGTACAAAGACAGAGTGACCACTGGTACGGATGCACATTGATTTATTTTTTCAAGGAATCAATTATTTGCATATTTCAGGAAACCGAATACGCCCATCCATGAATTTCTGAATGCTATGGATGAGATTCTTAATTATTTTGCTGCAAACAATAAAAAATGTGTTATTTTGGGGATCTTAATATTGATGTTAACTTAAATACCAACTCAGTAGCTACATATTTGTCTCTACTAAATAGTTATAATTTTACCCAAACCATTGATACCATGTGCTGATCAAATTGCCACTCTGTGCATAATCCCGGAGCAGTCACTGGAATGGAACTCTTCCCTTTCCTCTTTATGTTAATTTCATTGATTATGAAAAGGTGTTTGATAGCGTTAACCGACCAACACTGTGGAAACTTATGAAACATTATGGGCTACCACACAAAATTACCAATTTTGTAAGGAATTCATACAAGGGATTGTCATGCAGGGTAATTCATGGAGGGCAGCTAACAGATGCATTCAATGTGAAGACAGGAGTAAGACAAGGGTGTCTCCTCTCACCCTTTCTCTTCTTATTGGCCATTGACTGGATTATGAAGTTCTCCACCACTAACAAGAGGAATGAAATCTAGTGGACTCTATGGCAGCAACTGGATGATCTTGATTTTGCAGATGACATCGCCTTGCTCTCACACACTCACAAGCAGATGCAAGAAAAACTGACATCATTAGAGATAAGTCAGGTCGCCTTGGACTAAATGTTAACCAAACAAAGAGCAAGATTTTAGGAATCAATTCCTCAAATCAATCTGCCATCAGGTTGGAAGATAAATCACTGGAAGAGGTTGAAAGCTTTACATATCTGGGAAGTAACGTGGATAAACAAGGTGGGACAGATGCAGATGTAAGAATAAGGATAGGGAAAGCAAGGAGAGCGTTCCATCAGCTAAATAACATATGGCGATCTACAAAACTACCAAGGAACATTAAAATATGCATCTTCAACACTCCTATATGGTGCAGAAACATGGAGAACTACTGTTGCCATTATTAGGAAAATACAGTCCTTCATCAATACTTGTCTTAGGCGTATCCTCAGAATGTTCTGGCCTGAGGTAATTAGTAACCAAGACTTGTGGGAGATTGCTCATCAGCAACCCATTGAGGCAGAGCTCTTGCAGAGACGATGGCGGTGGATTGGCCACACCCTACGGAAACCAATGCCTAATATTACTAGACAAGCATTGACTTGGAATCCTCAAGGAAAAAGGAAGAGGGGAAGGCCTCGTAACTCATGGCGCAGAGACATGGAGGCAGATGTTAAGAAGATGGGCCGCACATGGAAAGAACTGGAGACGCTGGCTCAGGACCGCTCTGCCTGGAGGAACCTGGTTGACGGCCTATGTCCCAGGAGGGGCGATAGGCGTAAATATTAAAAAAAAAATTGATACCGACACAAGAGTAACTGACACCACTTCCACGACCATCTATCACGTGATCACTAATATCACAGATTATTTCCTTTGAGTGTGGCTGTATCCACACGAATATCAGCGACCATTATCCAACTTTTGCTTTTTTTTAACCTTCACCATGATCGAAAGCATAAGACATCCTACTACAAATGCGACTTTTCATTTTATAATAAAACAAACTTTTTTCCGATTTGGGGGAATTTATTGCACCCAGTTTACAATAATACTGACACTGATGCCGCGTATAATACGTTTATCAATTTATTTCTCATTGTTGATACTGAGCATGTGCCTTTAATCAAAGTCAGTATCAAAGACAACAAAATCCAAAAACCGTGGCTATCAAAGGGTCTTTTAATATTAGCCAAAACTAAACAGAAATTATATTATAGCATGGAAAAGTCGCCAAACAATATTGATATTAGACACAACTATAACAAATATGGGAATCTTTACAGCAAGTTACTTAAGGCTGCTGAAAGGGGTTATCATTATCACAAGTTCTTATCTGCACAGGGTAATAATAGCAAAACATGGAAGGTGATAAACGAAGTGTTAAGCAATAGGTCTAATGCATCATCCCCCGACAAACTCAATGACGATTCCTTTTTTGGAAATATTTTATCAGATAATCATGATATTGCTGAAAAATTTAACAATTTCTTCGTTAATGTTGGCTCTAATTTAGCAACCAAAATTAACACATCTAACAATTACAATATGTATCTTCATGACAAATACCCAGACTCTATTTATTTCGTCACATCACTCATCATGACATATATAAAGAAATCATTCTTTCAGACCCCAGCAAATCTATTGGTTATGATAAAATACATCCCAGGTAATTTATTATTTCTCATTCACTTGAATATATCTTTAACTGTTCCCTATCCCAAGGCAAGTTTCCCGCAGCTCTAAAATTTGCTAAAGTCACCCCTATTTATAAAAAAGGCTCACCCATTGATGTGAATTACAGACCAATTTCCATTCTATCCATCTTTAGTTATAGAAAGTATTGTCAAAAAATAAATATCTGTTTATTTTAATAAATGTAATATTCTTGCTGACACTCAATATGGTTTAGGAGGAAATATAACACAAAACTTGCCCTGCTAATGTTATTGCTGACATCGTTGATAACATGGACAAAGGG